GTATTGCTGCTGACTCTGTGGAAAAACTTTGCCCTTTATCGCTTTGGGAGTGACACATTCTATGTCAAATTCTGACAGTTGTAACAACCATCGCGCTGTCCTTCCCGGTAGGGCTGGCCTTGACAGCAAGTACCTTATCGGATTAGCCCCCACAACCAACTTTATCTTGTGCGCCAGCATATAATGTCTAAACTTTTTGGCTGCATATAAATATATTAGCGCTAAACAATTTTTCTCTGCTTTAGTGAAGCTCCAAGAAATAAGATTTCGACCAAGATAAATAAGATAAGCACCAGTTGAGGAGTAAATATCTTTATTTTCATCCCAGTCCGCATCTGAATATGTATGAAGATTAAAGGGGGACTCATGATGAAGAAGAAGGCCTTCATCCAAAGTGCCACATAAATATCGTAATAAAGGCTTAAAAGAATCCAATGCTCAGTAGATGGTTGATGCATAAATTGTGATAACTTGTTGATTGCAAAAGATATATCCGGACGAGTGAGTGACAAGTACTGAAGGATCCTTATAACTACGCGATACTCAGTTGGATCAGAAAGGTGGTGAACCCAAAGCTAGAGTAGGAAAAGAACCAGATGGTAATGGTGTGATGACTGATTATGTATCTACCATTTGAGTTATGTACAATAAATCAAGAATATATCGACGTTGAGAGAGTAATATTCCTTGGCGATGTGGAACAACTTCAACCCTAAGGGAGTAAGAGAGAGAACCAAGATCTTTTAAAGAAAACTGTTGAGCAAGAGAATCAGCAAACTGAGAGACAAGATCATTGTTGTTTCCAGTATGAATAATATCATCTACGTACACCAGCAAATACATAATATGATGACTAGTGTTGAAAACAAATAGGGAAGTATCAGAGTGAGAGTTTTTGAACCCTGATGCAACTAAAAATTGGCGTAGTTCATGGTACCAAGCCCAGGACACCTGTTTGAGGCCATAGATGGCTCTGTGAAGTTTACATACATATGTGGGATGATCGGAGTCAATAGAGCCAGGGGGTTGTGTCATATAAACATCTTCTGAAAGCCAGCCTTGAAGAAAGACATTGTTGATATCTAATTGACGAAATGACCAATCATTACTTACAGCAATACTAAGAACAAGTCTCACAGTAGTGGGTTTAATGACCGGACTGAACGTTTCATGATAATCAGCTCCTGTTAATTGGTGAAATTATTTCACCAGTAATCGAGCTTTAAACCTGCCAATTGAACCATTAGCGTGTCTTTTAATGCAAAAAATCTATTTACAACCAATCAAATTAGAAATATCAACAGGGGGAACTAACTCCCATGTCCCATTACAAACAAGAATATCATACTCTTCAGACATAGCTTGATGCCAGTTATGATTTTTGAGGCCTGAGTCACCGGATTAGGTTCAAGGTCCGATGAAGAGTGTAAGTAAGTGTGAAGGTTAAGTTTTTGTATTGGCTTACGAATGCTATTTTGAGCTCTAGTGGTCATTGAATGTTGAGTAGGGTGATGAGAAATGTGTT